GCCGATGCTGTCGATAATGGCGAGGAGACGATACAAGACGTGGGCGGAGAAGAAGCGAGAGGGGAAGTAGAGTCGGAACCGGCGAGTAAGGAGCCTTAGCGCACTGCCGTGGATGCGTTGCGCGTCACCCCTGATGGCCGCTTCCTGGTGACTGCGTCCACTTCGACCGACTTGCGCGTGTGGGACCTCAGCCCCCTTACATCACACGATCAGCAACAACACAACATGAAGGGAAAACAGCAGTGGCGCCAACAACAACAACAGCGGCAACAACAACGACACGCCCGTTTGTGTTGGTCGTGCGACGTTGGCACAACCCAAAGAGGTCACGGGCGTTCGTGTCCTGCGCATTGCAGTGCTTGCAGACAGCAGCAACAAGCTTGCTAGCGCGTGCGGAAACACAGTGCACGTCTGTGCCATTGACCACCACCAGCATGACCAGCAGGATCACCAGCAACAGCAACAGCAGCAGGAGCGGCAGCAGTAGTGGTGTGAGCGGGCGCTGACGCGTGCGGCGGTGTTGGATGACTTGTTTGTGAACGAGGCTGATCTGAACGCCAACATGACCGCCACCACCATGGCGACCCACCCAACTGATGACAGCCTGCTGGCGATCGGCACTGCGCGAGGTTATATGTTTGTGTGTGACGTCGCCAACCACAATGTCCTCAGCAAGCTCAAAGTGAGCAGAAACGCTCCGGTCAAGTTCGGCATCTTTGCCCGTCACAGCAGCGTCTTGTTGGTCAACTCTGTTGAGAGCTTGATCAAGTGCGACTACAGCACACCACCATACTGCATCGCAATGACAGAGCAGATGACATGGTCACGTGCGACCACCAGCACCTGCTCACTGTTTCAAGCAGCGTTTCGCGAGGCAGGGTTGCCCTGTGGGCGCTGGGACCGACCCTGAACCGCACCATGATCCCCCACAGAGCAGTTTGACCTGTGCCATCTCCGCCCAACGACAGACCCCAGATGCCGCTCCTACGCCATTGTGCCCGTTGTTGTTCCACCAGCAACACCTCCCGCAGATGCGCACAAGCTTGACGACTACGATGTCACTGCATTGCCGTACCTGACATCATCTGCCAAGCATCTTGACATGGCAAAGAAGATGATGGAGGCTGCAGTGTTGTCTTCTTTTGTCCTGGACTGCCCAATCCATCTGGCATAATCGCGGTGGTGCTGGACGCATTCTGCTTCATCACACAGGCCATCCGCGAGACACGGTGCAAACGACAACAGCACCACTAGCTGACGAGGACGGCAACCGAGTGCAGCTGACACTGGAGGGACGTGCTTGAAGCACTGGTGCGAGGCGTTCAAGTACAGCAACAACAGCAATAGCGCAATGGACTGACCTGCTTCGTGTGTCTTTTTTGCCCTGCAGCACGCTGACACACAGTGTTGGCTTGTGGATGACTGCGCCCTTGTTGTTGTTGTTGGTGCAGGCCACGTTGCACTTGGTTGTTTGGCTGCACTGCAAGTAACACCATACAATATGGCTGTTGTCTTGAGCAGTGCTGTGTTCTGTGCTCTGCTTTCCTCTCTTGCTTGGATGTGCGTGTTGGTGTTGCGTGTGTGCCCGTGTGTGAGGGCTGTTGTCGTCTCTTCATGTCTTTGGCTCTGTCCCACTGTACTGTTGGGAAACGATTGAACAAGCAAAGTGGAACCACCACAACACGGCAACCAGCAACCAACACATAACACTGACAGGGGAGAGTGGCAGAGCAGAGAGACAACAGGCAAGGAAGGAAGGGAGGAGGGAAGGAAGGAAGGAAATCGAGTATGCACGGCGTGCGTGTCAACAAACAGCCGACGCAGTGGCAACAACAACGAGGCATCAAACACCGCATGGCACACTGCACCGCTGCTCTGTCGATGGCCAGTCTGCAGGTGGAAGATGAGGCGCACGCGTGCATGAGCCACGCTGCGGTGGCTCCTCAGGTGGGAAGTGATTTGATTGGCCGCCGTCTCATCATCGTCGTCATCGGTGTGCGCACACATGCAATTGCGCAGCCAACCACAAAGGAAGCGTCGCTGCGCGCCATGCACACCACATACATCCATCTCCTTCTTCACTGCCGTTGCCTCGCATTGCAGCAGCAGCTGTTGCCAGCCATGGCACCAACAATAGTCAACAAATGTGTGCCCACCAGAAGCACGGCGACCACCTCCTTGCTGTTGCTGGAACTCGTGAGGAATGCAAGCACATTCACCACCACCACCACATCAGCCGTCGCTGCTGTTGCCATGGCGTGCACCACTACCACGGCCGCCACCGCCACTGCTGCTGGCGTCTCTCCCAACAACGCCGTGGTAATCCAAGAGTCAACTGCATCCGATGCCTTGAGCTCGTTGCTGTCGTTGGTGGTGGTGGTGGTGGTGGCAGCAGTGTTGGGATGATGATGATGATGTGGGAGGTGAAGGTGGCATGTGATGGCAGCACTCGATCACAGCAAGTGCAATGATGGTGGCTGTTGTTGCTGTCCTGGTGGAGGAATGCGGCGTCCACGTGAACTGGCAAGCGTGCGTGCGTGTGAGGCTCCAGCAGTTGCTGTGCGATGGGTCGGATCGCGTGTGCACCCGTGCAACCAAAGGGACGAGTCGTCCAGGAACGCGTCGGCCTCGCACGGCGATGCGGTGAAGCCCATGACGGTGACGTCGCCAGAGACGAACAAGCTGAAGAGGCACACCGTAATGTCCTCGTTGAGGGAAGCGACGGTGGCGATGACGGAGCCCTGGCGCAGGTCGATGCGCAAAATGAATCTGCGACGCGTCCTGCGTCATGTTGATGGACTGCACCAGCGCGGCCTCAAACGCCTCGCGGCGCGACTGCGTGTCAACGAGCTCGTACTCGTTGGACAGACACTGCATTTACGGCGAGCAGATGCCTGTGTTTTTGCGTCGTGGGCGTGAGCGGGCGCGAGATGAACGTGGTGTTGGGGCACGTGCGGGCCCATCTGGCACTCGCGGTCTGTGCTGGTGGTGGGCGCGGCCGTCTCAAAGGAGCGAGGTTCGCAGGGCGACACACGCGAGCGCAGAAGTCCGTGTTGCTGTTGCGGTAGAACAGGCCCTCGATGCAGCGGCGGTACTGGCGGTCCGTGTTGATGGTGGGGCGCATAGTAGGGCGCACCACTTCCTCGTAGCCTAAATCGCACTCCGTCACAGGTGTGCAATCACGCTGGCCAGAGAGGGCGGCAAAGTCCACGCAAGCCTGGCACGGCGTGCACGGCGTGCGGGCGTTGCAGTCCAAGGTTGGTGGTGCCGGCCGGGCACAGGAACTGCTCGCAGGAGCCGATGGAGCCCGCAGGCACATAGTGGCCGTAGGGGGCACGGCTGGCAGGCGGTGAGCGGGTTGCGGTCGTGGTCGGTGGTGCCGATGGGGCACGGCTCGCACTTGGCGTCGGAGGTGATGGTTGGCGCGCGGATGCGCTGCTCGCCAGGGTCGCACTTGGTGATGAGGTGGCACAGACGGTGCGCTCGTACTCCGTCGACGGGTTGCACTGGGTCAGGTCGCGGCAGATGCGATCCATGGTTGGCGTGAGAGCGGGGAACAGCTCAAACTGGTCCTGGTCGCACACGTCGAGCGTCATATATGCCGTGTTGCTGGTGGCGGTGCATGGCGCGCTGCGGTACTGCTCATCAGAGCACGTGCTGCACCGCTGGCATGACACATCGTTCTCCCGAGTCGCAGGCGCGCAGGATGTATGTGTTCGGCGGGCACGCTGAGCAGCCGGCGCACTGCACGTCCTCCAGCGCGGAGCAGGCGCGAATCTCGAAGCGGCCGCTGGGGCACTCGGAGCACTCCAGCGTGCACTCGCGGTCAGAGTCGAGCGTCAGCGCCTGGCTTCTGGAACGTGCCAAACTCGCACTTGCTCACGGCCATGCGTGGACATGTACTCTGAGGCAGCGCAACGCGACACGGGCACGCACGTGTCCTGGACGCACTTGCGGCAGAGGCGGTCGTGTTGGCGCGTGGGTTCACAAAGCGAATCTTTTCCTCATCCGGGCCGCCCTGCGTGACGGGGCGGCATGACTCGACCCGGCCGTTGGACGGGCTTGAAGGTGGCGCCAAGATCGCACTGGCCGCACACGCGGTCGCTCGTGGGGGTGGGTTTGACCGTCTCCTCCTCGCCGGCGTCGCACGTGGTGACGGGGAGACAGGGCACGCCCTGGCCAGACAGCCTTGTACGTGCCCTCCGGGCACTCGTCGCAGACACGGTCGCTGATGAGGAGTGTCATGGCCTGCACCTCCTCAAACCCCGGGCGCGCACTCCGTGACGTCCTTGCACGTGGTGGCAGGGTCGCTGTCGTGGTGGTGGGAGCCGGTGCGGCAGGTGAAGCTGGAGCAGGAGCTGTCGGAGCCCGCCTCCGTGTACTGGCCGGTGGGGCATATCTGGCAACCCGTGGAGCCGGCGCTGTCCGAGTTGATGGTGCCGGCCGAGCAGTCACGGCACACACGGTCCAAGGAACAGCGGGTTGGCGCGGCAACCTCCTCCTGGCCGCGCTCGCACACCTCAATGGGCTCGCAATGGCTGCCGCCAATGGATGGGGAGAACTCTGTCACGCCTGTCGCATGGCAGACAGTCTGCCGAATCGGCGTCATGGACGAGGATGAAGCCAGCGCTGCACTCGCACTTGTCTGTGCAGCCTGGGCAGGAGCGGCGTGCCTTCTGGCGAATGGTGTTGTGGATGCCATCCTCGCCTTGGCCGGCGCAGCACACGTCAAGCACCACATAGATCTGCTCGTCCGTGGGGTCGGCGCACACCATCTCCTCAAACAGCTGCGTGATGAGCTTGTTGCAGGCGAGCGTGTCACAGGAGCACAGGCGGTCTGTGGTGAGCGTGGGCGATGAAGGGCTCCTTGCACACGCTGGTGGGGAAGCACGAGGCGCGTTCCGGCAGCGGCTGGTACTCCATGCCAAAGGGTGCAGCTCACGCACGCGCGGTCGCGCACGGCGTTGCCAGAGACAGACTCCTTCTGGCCCGGCTTGCACTCGGTCCAGGGAGAGCAGACGGCGTCGGAGGACGCGGAGCATGGGGTGGAGGCCCAGGTGCCCATGCCACACGTGGTGCATGGCACGCAGCGGTGGTCCTTGGCGTAGTAGTCGGGAGGGCAATGGGCAACGCACGACTGGTGAGGTTGCCGTCACACAGGTTGAGGCAATGGGTGGCGTCTGGTGTGGTGGCACTCGGCACACGTGTTATATGGCACTCGGCACACGCGTTGCCGAGCTCATACTCGCCGTCGTCAGGGTACTCGCTGATGCAGCGGCCGTTACTGGAAGGGAGGCTTGGGTCCACAGGCCGTGCACTCAACGATGCCTGGAGGAGAGGGTGTGGAAGTGGAGGGGAGGATGGCGTGAGAGGCACTGACAGCACTCTTGTGAGGTGTTGAGGAACTGTGCACCGCTGCATGTTCTCAAGGACACAGACCTCACAAGATACTTTGAGAACAAGCACACAACCACACAGACACACAGACACACACACACACACACACACACAGCCAGCATAAGTAAACATACCATTGGCTCGTGATGAAGCTATCTTTGAGGACCCGCCGCACGGTGCTGTTGTTCTCTGTGTCGATTGTCGTGCGGTTGTGCTTCACAGCCTGTGCCAAGTGGCCGTTTGTGGTGAAGTATGTCTCCTTGAGCTCAATGTCCGCGTCATCGTTCAGCGTCTTCGCGACAGCGTCGACGGGGTTGCGGGCGTACGTGTTGGCGTTGACCGTGTTTTGCAAATCGCACCGCAGTCTGTTCCAATCGTCACCATGTCACGCTTCCACGGCCTGCGCACGACGTCGTTGAGCAGCATGTTGTTCGCACACGGAGAGGGCACGCCATTTGATGCTGGCGTACGAGCACATGCTAGCGAGTGCCCGCGCTTGTACTGCACATGAAACACATGACAGAGGAGAGCGGGATGAAGATGAGGAAGTGGGAGGTGAGGGGATGGCACAGGCATGGTGGCGTGGACGAACTGACAAGAACTTCTGATGCAAGGTACACGAGCCGACACACACACACACACACACACACACACACACACACACACACACACACACACACACACACACACACACACACACACACACACACCTCGGTGTCCCAGAGATCAAAGGTGGAGATGTTCCGGTTGAATGCCATGCGGTTTGTCTCGACCGAGTACGCGTCAATGTGCCTGAGACCTAAATGCGATGGAGCGGTGACAGCAGTGTAAATGACACGACCACCACCAAGTGTGCAAATGAGGCAGCGTCGCTGACACGGTTGTGCGCGTTTGCATACACATGTGTGTGAGTGTGGATGCGTGCGTACCTGCTGCCATTTTCTTGTACTTCCTGTCCGAGCCGTCCTGGCAGCCGGGCACGTAAGCAGCAGCGTACCCACCACTCAAGCAGAGGTCTCAGAGGTTGAGAGGGGTGCAGTAAAAGTGAGGAGGTGGGCCTGCAAAGTGAGTGAGTGAGTGAGTGCGTGTGAAGGGGGTTGGTGGCATGGGTGCAACTGTTGTAGAGTGATCGCATGGGTGTGGGATATGCACCAGCATCAGCAACACGTGATGCAGGGCACACCTGCGAGTCCGATCTTCTGCAAGACGCCGCCGCGCCTGTGCCAGTTGAGATTGTTGAAGGCGTGCATCTCCGTGGATATGACCTGGAAGCGAAGGACCAGTGGCGGGACGAGGACGGAGGGAATGAACGACAGTAGCTTTGATCAAGAAGAAGAAGACATAGCAGACGTAGGCACACACACACACACACACACACACACACACACACACACACACTCTCGGTTGACGGCTGCGCCAAGACCCTGTGGGGCCAATGAAGGTGGGTGGCACACGTGTCCTGGCTGATGATGCACGCAGAGGCTACGGCCGTGTTCGTCTCCACCAGATGCAGATACGGCGGGATGTCGAGCCTGCAATCCATGCACACATATGTGAGCATGAAGAGGGAGGTGGTGTTTTTGTGTGAGACGTGGTGGTGGCGGTTGATGCCGCTGTGGCACGAAGAAGCGGGGAGGATGGGGAAACACAAGCAGACAAAGTCACGAGTCAGTGCGTCGGCGCTGAATGTCCTTTCCCACCTTTTGACGCCGTAGTCGAGGAAGGCGCATGGGCTGGTGACGGGATCAGGGCCAATGAGGCCGGCCTTCTCCTCAAGACTGAGGCGTCCAATGAGGTCGTCAAGGCGGGCACCGATGGACAGACTCGTGTTGCAGACCGGCAACTCCTTCGTCGCTGCAGACAGGCACGCATGGCCTGATGAGGCAAGATGCAACAGCAGACACGTATGAGCTGAGTGGGTGGTTATGTGTGTGTGTGTGTGTCTGTGTGTGTGTTGGAATCACCTGTGGGATCGGGTTTGCCGGAACAGTTTGCCCGGATGATGTTCATGCGATTGGCTGCTCCGCACATCTCGGTGGACGCCCCCTTGCAAGGCTCGTTGCAGTCGGAGGAAGGCTGGACAAAAGTGTGTGTGTGTGTGTT